CTCACACCGCAATTGCATTTTCACATCCCTACCACATTTTTATTCTGCTGTCATGTGTATGCTGTGTAATTTCCTCAGGACCAGAAAATGACTAGAGTAATTGCAGGGTGTGTATGAGGGGTGCTTTTGATACAAATACATACATCTCTTTTTAAGAGCAAATAAACTTTCTCAGGCATTCCCCAGCAAAGTCTTTTCTTACATCTCATGGCTAGAATTGTGTCCCATGCGTGTTCCTAAATCTGCCCTTGCAGAGGAAATTGAATTGGCTTAGGGAAGTCAGGATGACTCAGCGAGGCTCAAGGGAGGTCCAGACACTCTCACTTCCGCCTATGGCCACCAACATCTGAAGAGAACTGGGTTTCAGTTAGAGGAGGAGGGGAGCGGTAGTCAATGAGTAACCAGAGACTCTGAAGTTGGCAAAAAGTTGTGTCAGCCACACTAGGGAAAACAAAGGTAAACTTTTTTTTTTTTTTGAGGAAGATTAGCCCTGAACTAACATCCACCACCAATCCTCCTCTTTTTGCTGAGGAAGATTGGCCCTGAGCTAGCATCCGTGCCTATCGTCCTCTACTTTATATGTGGGATGCCTGCCCCAGGATGGCTTGATAAGTGGTACATAGGTCTGCACCCAGGATCCGAAGTGGCGAACCCTGGGCCACTGACGCAGAGCGTGCGAACTTAACTGCTGCACAACCGGGCTTCCGCCCCGGTTTTTTTTTAATGAATTTACCACTCCTCATTTTCTTGATATAAGGCTACATTTTTCAAGTTCTGATAGTCTCAAAGGTAGATTTGTGCCTTAAGAGCATTTAATGTGCCAATGTATCTCAGAGCCTTCAATGTACTAACGTACCTGGTGACTTTTCAAGAAAAGGATAAAGCCACAATGTTCCACAAATAATGAAGTATTTCCTTATTTAAAATGTTGCAATTATTTTTCAGGGCATTCTTCCTAGGATGAATGTCTTTATGGATGCAATTTAGAAACTGCTCTCCTGAATTATTAGTGAGAACCTGTTTCATAGTACATATTTTATAATGGTCATAAGGCCCTCAAGATTGCCTTTTTTAAGTACTATAAAAAATAAGAGAAACGTGTAAAGTAACAGGTTATAAAACTAATATTAGAAAATGAATTGCCTTATAAATAAGTATAGTAAAATGTTGATGTAAGAATCTAGTTGGTAGGTTCACTGTAAAGCTCTTTCAAGCTTGTACTATGTTTAAAGTTTTTCATGATAGAAAGTTAAAAAATAATAAAACAACCACAACAAAACAAAGAATAGCTTTTATGTAGGCAACCAAAAGCCAGTGAGAAATATATAGAAAAGATAACTGTATTCATAATAGCAAAAATAAGCAAAATAACTAGTTTAACTTTCCAAGAAACACTCAAAACCTGTGTGAGAAGAACTTTAAAACACGATTTAAGGAAGCAAAGTAGACTCGGGGAAATGGAAAGACACAGAGAGGAAGACGACTTTGCAAAAATTTCTGTCCTAGTTTATTTATCAACACAACATAATCCTAATAAAGGTACCATCAAGTTGTGTATTTTTCCTTTTCTCAAGCTAGATAAGTGGTTAATAAAGTTCATTTCAGTAAATAAACAAAAATAACCAGGAGAATTTGAAAAAAATGAATAATATGGTGGGAGAGGGGCTAATTCGAGCAGTTATTAAAGTATGCTACAAAGCCTTTAGAATTGAAACTCTAGTGTTGGTACAATAGACAAACCAAAGAATGAAACAGATTTTGAGAATCCAGAAATAGACTTAATTACATATGGGAATTCAGGATATCATAAAGGCAGCACCTCAAATCAGTGAGAGAAGGTGAACTGTTGTGTGTAATGATAACGGGATAGCTATATGGAGAAAGATAAAATTTTGATTCATTTCCCACACTGCACACCAGAATACATTCGAAGCGGATCAAATATCTAACTTTAAAAAATAAAATTATACAAGTACTAGAGGAAAATGTAAATGGAATCTTCTGTACTCTGGGAGTGGGGACATTTTTGCCAACCATAATTGAAAATCTAGAAGCAATAAGAAAAAATGAAATTGATAAATTTTTTTAAACAAACAACTTTTTTAAATCAAATATAATTTTATTTGGAAATAGATACCCCCAAAAAAGTGAAAAAAAATGGCAAACTGGGAAAAATATTTGCAACTTAATCTGAAAGTGTTAATATGTTTAATTAATTAAAAAACTTTTAAAGGTAGAGAAGAAAAGGACCAACATTTTATAAAACTTGGCTAGATTATAAACGGTTTGCAGGAAAACCAATACAATGGCTTTTTACCATATGAAACATGTTCAACCTCCCTTATAATGAGAAAGATGCAGGGGCTGGCCTGGTGGTGCAGCAGTTAATTTCGCACGTTCTGCTTCAGCGGCCCGGGGTTCACTGGTATCCGGATCCAGGGTGTGGACATGGCACCTCTTGGCAAGCCATGCTGTGGTAGGCATCCCACATATAAAGTGGAGGAAGATGGGCACGGATGTTAGCTCAGGGCCAGTCTTCCTCAGCAAAAAGAGGAGGATTGGCAGCAAATGTTAGCTCAGGGCTAATCTTCCTCAAAACAAAAAAAAAAGGAAAAGAAAGAAAGAAAGATGCAAATAAAAATACACTCTGGTGGCATTATTCACATATCTGATTCATGAAAATCCAAATTTGACAATATACTAGATAGGTCAAGTTGTAAAGAAGCGAACACTCCCATCCTTTGCTAGTGAGACGGCAAAATAGTGCAACCCCACTAGGGGAATTCACTGACACATGGCAAAATGTCTATGAATTTACCCTTGAACAAAGCAATCTTGCTTCTCAGAATCTATCACCAAAATATTCAGACAATAATTGAAAAACACATATACGCACAAGACTATTCATTACACTACACTTTTTAGCCTGTTAGACGTGATTCCTATTGTCAGAATGCTATCTGTACATTATGGAATAAAGCAAACAAATAATCATAATGGTATCATTAAGAACCAGGATTTTCCTCATGAGAGAAAGGAGGTAGAGATTAAGAGTGTGGAAGTTAAGTAAAAATCCTATACTCCTGAATTTGAATTGGAGGTAGAATGTAAATTCATGATGAATTTTATCTTTTTCCAAAAATAAAAGAGAAAATCTTGCTCTGAAAAGGCCTTGATTCAATGACAAGCAGTGAGCATAAGGTTGATTGTGTTTAAATTAGATACACATAAAACACAGAAGTAGCTGCCATAGGAGATGTTAATGTGTGCTCTGAAAAGGAAAAATACAAATTCAAGTAAACTTGAGAAATTCCAAATTTCCTTCTTGGAGATTATACTTTATGTTATAATGTGAAATGCTCTGAAAAAGTCTCAGTAAAGAAATCTAAAAATATTTAATGCAGTGGTTGTCAAGAACCCTTTGTTTTGCTGTGAAAGTGAAATTTAATCTGTGGAGAATTATTTGTCGTAAAGGGACAAGAGGTCTAAAGAGAGCTCCTGGTATCATGTACTTAATGACTGCATAGTTTAATACAAGTATTATTTAGGATCTACTGGACACTAAATGCTGTGTTTAGCGTTGGGGATATAAGGGGAATAAAAGAAAAGAAAAAAGGCTGGGAAATCAACTGGTAGAGCATTAAAATATAGTGCTATTGCTGATTTTATGATAAAGATTTGAAAGTTCTATAAAAATCTTTGTGATTGTGGAGCTAAAGGTAGGCAACCATTGGATTGTGCCATAGAGAGAGAATTAAGCTGTCATTGGGGAAAAGCAAGGAGGAAAGACATTTCTGGCAAAATAAAGAGCATGAGCAAAGATAGCTTAACATTAGAATTGATGGTGTAGTCAGGAAAAAATAGCCATACCTGTCTGGAACAAAAACATTATAGGAAAGAGGTGTCACAGGGTCAATGTAGTGAGAGGAATGTGGGCTTTAGCATCTGACAAGCCTGAGCTCTCATCATTGCTCTACCTATAAATGATCTTGGGAAGCTTATTTAATCTCTATAAGGCTCAGCTTTCCCATCTGTATAATGAGGATAAATAGCACTTAGCTCACAAAGTGAGGATGAAATAAAATAATGTATGCAAAGCTTTCACCACAGTGGAGGGCACTTCATCAATGTCAGTTCTTATTGTTATCAGGAAGATGAGGGCAAAATGATGAACACTCTCAGTTGTCAGGGGAAAGGATTTGTATTTTATTTTGTAGACAATGGAGAGTCATTGAAGAATTCTGAGCATGAGGGTGAGGCATTCAGCTCTGCAGTTTGGAAAGATGCATATGGAGGAATGACTAGATAGAAGGAGACCTCCAGTATTGCATCCTGATGGAAGATGGGAAGGGCACAAATAGGATGTTGGTAGTGTGGCCAAAACTGTTCCATGTTTCAGGGGTAGAATTGATAGAATTTAGCTATTCATTAGATATATGTATGTGAGAGTGGGGAGTGAGACAGAGGAAAGAATCAAAAATGATACCCAGCCTGAGCATCTGAGTTGCCAGTAATACCAGCAATCGAGCCAGGCAACACAGGAGACGGAGTAGGTAAGTAGAAGTACTGATGAGTTCAGGCACGGAATTTAGTTTGTTTTCCATCATTTTCCTTTTGGCTCACCACCTTTCTAGAGTAAGGGAGTTTTGAAGATTTGAATATGGCAGCCCAGCTTCTAATCCCAGCCGTCCCTTGATTCTATGGGACCACTATATTTTGAATAGTATGTTGACTTCTTGCAAAAGCTATCATTGTGATTCATAGATTATGGCTTCTATAGTTTGTCTAATATATTGAAAGTTTAGTGTAATGTGCTTCAAAGTCAAATACCAAAAACTATCAAAACAACCTAACGTGATAGCCAATTGTGGATATGTGGTTTGCACCATTCAACTCCTCAAAGCCTTGCTTCTTTAAGGATAGTTGAAGCTAAATGGAAATTTAGACATTCTACTCAACACCAATCTTTGTGTGTGTGTGTTTCTTGTTTTAATGTGCAGGACAGGAGAGAATTGGGAAAGATTCCAACTATGAACAGGAGGGTAAAGTTCAGTTTGTGATTGACGCAGTCTATGCTATGGCCCATGCCCTTCATCACATGAACAAGGATCTCTGTGCTGACTACCGGGGTGTCTGTCCAGAGATGGAGCAGGCTGGGGGCAAGAAGTTGTTGAAGTACATCCGCAACGTTAATTTCAACGGTGAGTCTCCGAAAACCTGTGCTTTTTGGAATCCTAAGTATTGACATTCTTTATTTCATAAGTTATGTATTTGGATTATTATTTAGTCTTGAGTATGTGTCAAAACCTGGTTGATTATATAATTTTAAATGACTGAATCAATATATGAATGAGTAGTGAGTGAGTGAACAATTGAATAAATTAATATTTGGGGGTTATAATTTGTCTTATTTTTCTTAAAATAGAGGAGTATTTGCACAAAGGCAATTCTCCCTCAGCAAATCTAAGTAGTAATAGGAGGGGCTAAGGGGAAAGGGAGGAGACGGTTGCTCTAGGTACCCAAGTTAATTGAAGTAATGATCGTAATTTGCCATACCACCCATATTTCAGATTGCAAACATTTCTCAAAGTATAAAACTCGGTTAGACGTTAATTAGTTACCTAAAAGAGGTGGGCATAGATAGGTGGGAAAATGAGTAAGTAGGGTAGAAGGCAGGAGGGAGGAGTACCACTTCTCTGATAACAACTTTTGTATGGTCTTGACTCTTACAACAGTTTCATGCTTCACATACCAAAAACTAAACAAACAATTAAAATAAACCTGAATAAGGGTTGTGTTAGGGTTCACTGGAGAGACAGAACCAATAGGGTATATACAGATATAAAGAAGAGGAGATTTATTATAGGAATTGGCTCACATGATTATGGAGGCAGGGAAGTCCCACCGTCTTCTGTCTGAAGAACCAGAAAGTCAGTGTTGTAATTCAGTCCAAGCGCCAAGGCCTAAGAATCAGAATCAGAGGGCTCCTGGTCTAAGTCCTGATAGGAGTCCAAAATCCCAACAACCAAGAGCGCTAATGTCTGAGGGCAGGAGAAGATGGATGTCTCAGCTCAAGCAGAGCGAATTCACCCTTTCTCAGCTTTTTGGTTCTAGTCAGGCCCTCAAGAGACTGGATTATGCCCACCCACACTGGGGAAAGACTATCTGCTTTATTCAGTTCCATAGTTCAAATGCCAGTCTCTTCCAGGAACACCCTCACAGACACACCCAGAAATAAGGTTTTACAGCTATCCCCAGTCAAGACGATACATAAAATTAACCATCACGTGGGTGTAACACAAAATTCATGCAGAAAATAATAAATAAACCTATTTTACAAATGAATACCATAACCACACTGAAGGGGTTGAGGGATAAAAAAAAATGAATGCAAGTAATTTTGGAAGATAGTATTTGATTATATATTATAAGACTAAAGACAAAAATAACTGTACACAGATATTGTACAATAGCTAGTAAATTTGTGGGACTCTTTACAATTATGAAAATAATTTATGTACATAAGAGGACTGAGAGAATAATCAAACATATTGTGGGTGATGAAAGCCAGGTTTCTCACTGTCAAATAAGAACAGGAGAAAACTAGAATGAACCTTGTTATGTTGTGTTAGAAGTTATCAGCATAAACTCATGGCTTTTAATATACACGCAGATGGTAGACACAGAAATAAATATGTGTATGTTATATATGTATACTTATCTTTACTGCCTAGTTCTGTCCACTGAGAGGGCCTAGGAGCAATGACACCCGGGTAGAAATGACTATACCTAGCGCCCACATCTTATTTATAAATCCCATTGAACTAGGGCTCCCTAGAGAAACTACTGATTCAAGGGCCAGGCAGGGCAGGGAAAGTATAAGATGAGTCTGAAACTTCACGTTGTGCTAGAAAGGAAGAAAGTGCTCAAAAACTGATGGGGTCATGTTGAAAGCGCACAGGAACCAACTTGAAGGAGATCCCACTGGCCAATTCCGGGACAATAATGGATTAAACTCGTAAAATAAAACAAACATCACTAAGTTCATACTGATATAAATAAATAATTGAATTGAATACATAAATGTAGGAGAACGGGCAGCAGAATGAAATGACGGAAAGATGGAAGTATGAAATCACCATTTTTCAAAGACCTCAGTAATAATTGTCTTAGGCAAGCATCATCAATGGATGCTAAAATTATTGGTCTAAAGTGTAATGAGAAGCAAGATATTTGCATAGTCTCAAAGTATCTTCTGTCAAGAAACATTAATTACAAAGGGGAAAAGAGTAGTTTTGAAGTGTAAAAACCTGGAAGATAACACCTTAGCCAAAGGATCAAGGTTAACATCACCAGTAATAAGACTAATTGACATCAAGCATCTCTTGATAAGATACCCTGGGAAGGTTACAACTCACTTCTGAGGTCTTATTGCCAACAATATATAACCTCAACCTAATCACAATGAAACGTGAGACAAATCCAAATCAAAGGACATTTTACAAAATAACTGGCTAGTACTCTTCAAAAGTGCCAAGTCATGAGAAAAGACAGACTGTGGAATTGTCCCAGACTGGAAGAAACTAAGGAGATATTACTATTAAAGGCAATGTGAGAACATTGATTGAGCCTGTATCAGAAAAAGGACCTTAATGGGACAATGGAGGAATTTTAATAAAATTTTCAGATTAGCATTAAAGAGTATTATATCAATTTTAATTTCCTGGTTTAGATAATTATATTATGCTTTAAAAAGTCTTGTCTGCTTGAAAATAATAATCCATTTAAACATACACTATTGTACAAGTCATTCAGGAGTTACCCAGTACGTGGATGAAGATGAACCACATCCAGTGTTGAAATCTACAGTTTCCTAGTTAAAGTGGAGGCAAAAATGACTGTCTATAAAAGGAGAAAATAGTTCAACTACGAATTATCTTTTTTTATAGTTTCTTTCTGATCTTACAGAATCTCCTAAAACATGTAACTAATTTTCCCGGAACCAACACATATAGATTTCATTTACCCAACACTAAATCACACATGCTGGGATCAGTTTTTAGGCTGTGTATTCTAGTCCATGGATACGCATGACCATTCTTACACTAGTCACAAAAAAATTCATCTTGAGAATGTTCTTCGTGATTCTCCCCTAAGACTTCTTCTAGGTAATGTTTGAAGATTCATTTTGTTAAGATGGCTCGTCACCAATGAGCCAGAGTTGCTGAACTTCTGACTGTACACTGTGCTTATGTTTATCAAATGATTACTATGTGCTAGAAACTATGCTAAGTACTTTATGCGTGTTGACTTAATATGTAAAACACCAAATAGTTTAGATACTATTACCGTCCCTGTTCTTTATAGGTAAGGAAACTGATTCACAGAGAAATTAAGAATCATGATGTTCAAAGCCACACAGCTCGGTAGTCATGATGGTATACTTGGTACCTAGGGCACCTAACTCCATGAATGTTCCCTTTACTGTTATTCTTTAAGAATCTGCGAGAAAGGACTGACTGCATCATTCTACTGTTCCACCTTAGAACGGAGGCTCTGTGAAAGTTCACAGGCATGGCCAATTGTTTCTCTCTCTTTGTCATCATTGCAATCATGCTCTGTGGTGTCCATAGTCTTCTTTTCTCTGAGGACATTTTTTCTGCCGTATGGACAGACTTCTGTCATAAGGAGACTTCTGGCTCCTGGGACACTGTGATAGTGGTTGATGGTAGGCTCAATAGTTTTATAAAGCAGAGAACCTGTACTAGATTTTTTTTTTAAGACATTCTTTTTCTTTGAGGAAGATTAGCCCTGAGCTAACATCTACAGCCAATCCTCCTCTTTTTTGCTGAGGAAGACTGGCCCTGAGATAACACCTGTGCCCATCTTCCTCTACTTTATATGTGGGATGCATATCACAGCACGGCTCAACAAGCAGTGCATAGGTCTGCACCTGGGATCCAAACTGGCGAACCCCAGGCCACCAAAGTGGAACGTGCAAACTTAACCACTTCGCCACCAGGCCGGCCCCAAGCCTGTACTAGATTTAATTAGTAGATTCCGTGTCACTTACAGTGAGCAACTATTAGAGTGAAAAGAGAGTTGACATTTTTTACTCAATTTCCTGATTTTTTGATACAGAAATCAAATCCTAGAGAGAAGAAAATATTTGTCTTAAGACTTCGCAGCTAGCAATTGATGAAGACAGATCTAGAAGCCAAGTTTCTTTCTAGTCCATTGTGAAAAATTTAGCCTTTCTTTTGCATGCTTTAGGAGGATTTTGATTTTTCTTTGTCTCAATAACCTTAATTGTGCTCTTCTGTTACTTTAGTACAAACTTTTCTGTACCCGTGGGAGTTTTGTTCCAGACCAGTAGAGTACAATTTAATAACTCTGACCTTCACATTTACCAAAGCATCAATTTAGAAATTAGTAATAGAATGCCCTAAACGTATTGCTACAGCTTCACCAAGTACTTAACCTCCTCCTAAGCACCAAGAGAAAAAATGGCTGATTTTGTCTTCATCACTTCTGGTCATTTTATCCTGCATCCCAAATGAATGCAATGACCTCAGCTGAAATTTGTTTCGGTTATCTCTGTGTTGGCCCATCCAACCAGATGTCAATACTTATAGAAGTAAATTTAACAAATTTGTTGTCTTGGATACAAAATCTGAGAGACTTGCTGTATAATGAAATATTTACTCTGAAGTCTGTCTGTACCTAGATTTACTAGCTTCCAGAAAAAAAGATGGGTTCATGTTTGTTTTGTAAAGATGGCACATAGCATGTGCTTTCCTTGAAACATGAAGTTGGCTTTCCTTCATCGAAAGATGAGATCTATTCCCTCTCCTTGAATCTGAACGAGCCTGTGACCAATGTGGAAGTGATACTATGTGACTTTTAAGGTATAAAAAGTAATAAGGCTTCTGCCCGGTTCTTGTGGGACATTTGTATGATGAACACAGCCACCGTGTTGGGAGGAAGCCAAGAAGCCTAACAGACAGGCCACACGTGGATCTTGCAGCCACAGCCCCAGCTGAGGCCCCAGCCGATAGTCAGCATCAACTGTCAGACAACTGAGCTGCGAGCTGCCCTGGCTGACATGAGAGGACCAGAGAGGTGCTGTCCTTGCCGAGTCCTGCTCAAAACACAACATACAGGTTGTCATTGTTTTGTGCACTAAGTTTTAGGGTGATTTGTTGAGTAGCCATAGGTAACTGGAACACAAATCAATGCAGCATTTCTGGAATCTGTGCATGGGGTGCCAAAATGGGAGAGAAAACTTGTAAATACTTTGATGCAGAGGATGGTTTTGTCATCTGGGCAATCTAGATCCCAAATCCTTCTCTGTTCAGGAAGAAAGGAATATCATTAAGATACTCTCACCCGGTACGGATTTCAGACTCAGGAACATTCTGTCATCCCTCCTCCACGCTCAGTGTCCCGTCTTGCTGTTTCCTTTGCCTTAGCGTCCTTGCGCCCTGGCCTTGAAACCTCGTGGACATCTCTGCTGGGGATGGCTTCTCCTTTGATAACTTCCGTCTCTACTCCTCACTTCTTTGACTTTTTTTTTTTAAATATAGAGTTCATTGAATACAATCTCTCTTTTCCTCTTTCAAGAAGTTCAGGGGTTCTGTTAAAAAGGAGTGTTGAAAAAAATTGGAAATAATAAGCCTGTTGCATTATAGAATCCATCGAAAAGGTCAAAGCCACACAATACACTATTACAAGTCATCACTTAGATAAAGTATTCAACTCTTCTGCCTTAATTTTTTTTTAAGCATGAACTTTAATGAGAATGGAAAGGGCATGACAAGAATCATTTCTCCTAACAAAGATTGTAAAAAGGGACAAAGATTAGGCAGTGTGTCCCATTCTGATGAATATTTAGCTCGTGAGCTTGAGATCCTTTGTAGCCCCAGGCCTCCAATATTATTCCTCTCAAAGACTATGAAAAACTCAAGTCATATTATTTAATAACTAGAAGCTGTAGAATTATAGCAAAGCACAACATGAATCCTAGTATCCAATATGAAAGAAAAGAAAGGTGAGTATCTGAATATTAATGTCTTCCTGCAAAATGATAGGATTCTTATTTTCTTGCTAATAACATGTAAAATCCAGATTCATTTCTTTTCCTTATATACTTGGAAAGCTTGCTGAAAGCGGAAAGCCAATATTAAAAACCTTTTGTTATTATTGATGTTGGGTTTTTTCTCTCCCTATTTGGGAAGGCTTGTGTCGATTTCCATGCAGAGAAAGCTTACGAGATTCCTATTGTTACAGAGTGAGTGCCTTTGTGGGCTGTGGGGATGGTGTCTAGGTAAAGCATAAGAGAAACAAATTGAAATGGTGCCCTTGGCCACACACAGATTTAGGCACTGACTCAAGTTGGTGGGACCAAAGCAACATTGCTCATAGATCAGTGCTCATTCCAGAGTGGGTTGTAGCCTGCTGTTTGGAAAATAAAAACTCTTTACACTGATGGAGAAATTTAAATTAGATACCAGTTAGGAGAGACAACTTTCATGCAGGAGAAAAGATTGGAGATCTGAAGGCATACGTTCTGGTTCTGATATATCAGCAAATAAAACAATGATAAAAATAGAAACTATAAAAAATCCATACCACCTATTGAGCATTTATTATATAAAAGGCAAGGAACTAAGTGCTTTATGTACATTTTTACATTTGATCCTCACTCAAAGTCTATGAGATAGGTATTATTAGTGACAATCAGAAGTAGAGGGAAATTGAATGATTTGATAAAAGTCACACATATAGTAAGTGGTAAACCTGCAATTTAAACCCATTCTAGGAGATTCCAAAGCGAGTTACTAAGCACTATTCTAGTTTAATCAGCTGAGTGGCCCTGGGGCAGTGACTTCCCTACTCTGAACCTAAGTATACTTCCTCACCTGTAAAATCAGGAAGTTTGATGTTCTGTGTCTCCCCCAAAAATTACCTATATTTAGTGGCTTAAACAACACAAATTTACTATTTTATAGTTCTGTAGTCTGGAAGTCTGACACAGGTCACACTGAGATTTAGTTAAGGTGAAGGCAGGGCTGGTTCCTTCTGGAGGTTCTGGGGAAATACTTTTCCTTGCCTTTTCTAGCTTCTGAAGGCTGCCTGCACTCCTTGGCTGGTGGCCTCTTCCTCACGTCAGTCCAACTTCTTGTTTTCATCATCACATCTCCTCCTTCCTCCTATGACTCCTGCTGCCTCTCACTTCTAAGGACCGTTATGATCAGGGTGGGCCCACCCAGCTTCTCCAGGAGAATCTTCCCCATCTCATGTCATTAATCACATACACAAAATCTCGTTTGCCATGGATGGTGGCATTCACAGGTTCTGGAGATTCGGGCATGGACACGTTTGGGGAGCTATTATTCAGCCTGCCACAAACTCTGATTTTTTTCATTTTTAATACCAGAAGTGTCACAAAATCCTGCACCCAACAGTTGTAGGATGGTGTGGAGTTCTTTAGCTGCCCTATATCCTGTCTATAATGTTGGACCATCTCTTGCACCAGAGGTAACTTTCAGCACAAGATCGCAACTCTGTATGCCTCTTGTGAGCCAAAATATTGTCTCTCTTTCTAGACTTTTTTCCTAACTTCATTCTTGTGTTGAGTGATCATTTGTGTGGGGCCACTCTCAGCATCACACCTGCTTTCTTAAGTGTATCTATCCTTTTTTTACTGTTTTTGGCATACTCTTTCCTGTCCAGTTAGCACGCCATATTTTTTCCTTCATCCATGTCGTTATTGCAAATATCATGTTGCCCCAATTCAGTAGAAGCTAATGACTTTGCTAACCAAATGCAGAGCTCTGCCACCACTGGTGTCTTAATTTTTAATGAGAATTCTCAAAAATGCTTCACGCTCTTTACCTAGGACTAACCCTGCCCCTCCCCCGAAAATAGCAAACTTCTGTCCTCAGTGATTCTATTTCAGCTGGTAAGTGATCTGTCAACTTCCTCGTAAAATACAGGAAATTGAGCATTGTTTTCTGCTGGGAATATTGACCTGGTATTAACCTTTAGGCAGAGCACATACCATCACATATCCTGAGACCAATGGTATTTTTCCTGTTTTCAAGCCATCATGAGAAAAATAGCACTCAGTTACCAAACTTTTGGTAATTCTTTTGCAACTGTTACTGAAAATAACCAAAGCTCACATCTTCCATTCTCTGAATATGGTTTACCAATTATTCCATGTGGTTAATAGTAAGGAAATTTTCACTCATATTCAACTTTCAACTTACTTATATGTATATCAGAAGTATATATACACAGAGAGAGAGAGAGAGAATATATACGTTCCCCCAAAATGCATTAGTCTTTTTAAATTGACTTCAATGTCTAATTGTCCCCCAAAATTGGTTTCATCTTAAGATGGATATTTTAAATAAGAACCAAGAGGGAGATTGAGAAAGAAACCAGTATTTATTAAACATTTACCAGGCACACTGCTAAGCATTTTAGACTGGTTATTATATAAAGTAAATTAGAATTAATCAGCAAAAAAAATTTCTCGATGCAGTCAATATCCAAGTCCATATTTAAGTGAATTTTTGTGCTTGTTTGCTCGTTTGTTTTTTTTAATTCTGTTGCATTCCCCTTTTAAAACTTATTTGTTTATTTATTGTTTATTATTTTTGAAATGATTCTCTACTGACCAAAATTTAGTGTTAGGTAGAAACTAAAATAATAATAATAATAATAATAAAACATAAGGCTGTTCCTGGAAAATAATGAATTTAATTTTTATTCCTCACAAGGGGGGAAAGAGTAGGATAACATATTAAGAAATAGCAAGCAATTGAACTTTTCAAAGGAAGAGGCAGCTTGTCTTCTACCTTCTATAATTAGCATCTGCAGGCCATACAAGGACTTGCCCCATTAGTTTCAGGGACCATTTTGGGGGAACCTATTAAACAATGGGGTTATCTACTAGCTACCTTGCTCATCGCAGGTTTCCAGACTGTCACCCATGCATAAGAGATAGATGGAATCTTTTTTAACTCTAAAATCTGTCATTTTCTTGTTTTCCTCAGGTAGCGCTGGCACCCCAGTAATGTTTAATAAGAATGGAGATGCACCTGGGCGTTATGACATCTTTCAGTACCAGATGACAAACACCACCAACCCTGGTTACCGTCTGATTGGACAGTGGACAGATGAACTTCAGCTCAACGTGAGTTCTAATTGTTCCTCTTCCTTTGCTTGTGTGGTGAATGAACAAACTTTTAGTTTGCTCAATTAGGCAAATGTTTCTTGTCTATATGTTTGTGTGTGTACACAAGTGAACATGCAACTTGCTGCAGGCGTGAGCAAGGACTGATAATCAATAATATAGCAGTGATAGTGATGATGATGATGATGTTAGGAAATGTATTCTGAGTTTATGCCAGACATTGTACTCAGCACCTATGTGGATGATCTCATTTAATCTGATGCTCAAATTGCTTAACAAACAAGGTACCAGCTAATACTTTAATAATTTCACAAGATCCTTCTCTTGGTCAGACTTTTCTTCCTTCCGTCATTCTTTATCTGGTGGTGTGTTTTGTTATTTTTTTTTTTAAGTGCATTTTAGTGCATCACTTAAGTTAAACTGAGATTCTGTAAAACGTGACCTTGAGTAAGCAGCAGCTTCCTTGTGCAAGGGGATGTAAAAGTTCACCAGCCAGAGACCATCGGGGGCTCCTCTGTAGTCGGATATACTTAGGTTTATTTAACTTGCTGTTTGAAAGACAACCTCCTGCCAGCAAACCTCCTTCAGGATGAAGGAGTTTGGATGGGATTTATCATAGACTTTGGGCTGAGCTGGGTGATTCTAGGCAGGTTTAGGGAAGCAAGGGCCAGTTTGGGGTTGGGCCCTCTTAGGAAGTGGTAGCAATTTGATGAGTGTATGTCTTGAAGATTTTTATCTGGGACATGGGAGGATAAAAGCTAAGCAAGAGGTGTCACTAACAAAGAAAACAGTAGGCACTTATGTGAACTGGAAAAGAGAGATGTTTAGCAATTTTTGAGGTTGCAGAATATTCTTGTTTCTGTCTAGTTTCAGATATGGTAGCAGAGTGGCCTTACTTTTGTCTTGTTCCACCACAGTCATGGAGTGCCCTTGTCTGATAATTATTTTTGTTATGCAGAAGTTATTTACGTTCTGTTGGGAACTTACCTGCCTAGATATTAGCTGACAGCTGTAGGGACATTTTTTGTTCTTGTTTTCTTTTCTTAATATTTCAGGTTCAACATTCAATAGTGTGCTTCTAGTAATGCTTACAATTTGGAATTGTTTGGAATTATTGTTAGTTAGTGAGTATACTAGTCTTCCCAGGGAGTGAAGAACATGGGCCAGGACACCTCCACCCTGTCTGGCCCAGCACAGCTGGAGCTCAGCACACCATGGCTGCCCTGCTTTTCCTCTCCTCCGGGTGGGGTGGGGGTGCTTAAATAAGCCAGGGCCAGCCTGGTGCATGGGGTCCTGAAGCCTGGGGAGACAAGTTGGAGAAGTAGGGTTACTGCTGGGCCTCTTCTGCGGAGATGTGCTGGATGGGGTTACACTCCAACAGGATCTGCAGCAGGTCCCTCCCTGTGGCATTGAGCTTAGGTACAATGTTCGCCAGAGATACTGTGGCTGGGCATATTGGGTAGGGCTGATAAATTGGGTAGAGCTTCCCAGGACCACAAATATAACTTGAATTTATAGCATATACAAACACGATTATCTTTTATCCAGCAGGTCCCACCATCACTCTGGATTCCCCAGAGAAACAGAACCAATAAGATAGAAAAATAGACAGATAATAAAAAATTAGCTCATGGGGTTATGAATGCTGAGAAGTGCAACTGGCAAACCGGAAACCTACGAGAGCCAATGGTGTAAGTTCCAGCCTGAGGCTGAAGGCAGAAAAAGACTGATGTCCCAGTTCAAAGATAGACAGAGAGAGAGGGTTCTCTCTCACTCAGCCTCTTTGTTCTATTCAGGCCTTCAATGGATTAGTTGAGGCCCACCCACGTTGTGGAGATCAATCTGCTTTACTCAGTTTACCAATTCAAACGTTCATCTCATCCAGAGACACCCTCGCAGACACACCCAGAATAATGTTTAACCAAATATATGGGCACCCCATGGCCCAGTCAAGTTGATGTATAAAATGAACCATCACAGGCTCTATCCCAGAAAATTTCTTCTAATGTTTATTCCAAAGGTGAAAATTATGCCATTGGCTTTTATCAGCTTATGCCTTATGATACACTTTGGAAATCATTGAGAGCAAGGCTTCTTGAGAGTGAAATAGAGAATTGATGTCTTGGGAGTAGTGGGGTATAGGTCATGGTTTCTAAGAAGAGACAATTATGCAAAAAGCAGGGGGTGGTGAAGCCACCATTGGCCAATTACCTCATTTCACATTGCCCTCCCTGCCTCTGCTTCTACCTGTCCAGTTCTCCTTCTCCTGAGGTCCACCATCCAAGTGAGCTGACAAAAAGATTGGGCCCAATGGATTGTGATCTGGCATCCAAGAATGGATGGAGCCGGACAGCAAGGGCCAGGCTTGGCTGAGATGAAGACTGAGTGGTAAAACCAAAGAAGCAGCTAAAATTACCCTGAACTTAAGGCACAATAAACTTGCAAGCAAACAGAGAAAATGAAAGCAAAATGAACAAAACCCAATAGGTAAACCCAAGGGGTAGTAATCTAAAGCAAAATCAAAGCAGCATAACCTTGCTAACATACCCAAAGTATGCCTTTTTTTGGATGTTGTTTCTGTGACACGAAGAAGGGTCAGCCAGAAGTAACGGTAGAGAGTCAAGGTCTGTGGTATACATGTGAAGTGCTCAGGGCCTATTGTAAGACCCAGGAGATTGTATTGATGTATTCATCTGTTGTAGCATAACCCCTGCACCAATGTTAAATTTCTGGCATGTGTAATTTGTCCATGTACACAAGAACTCCCAACCAACCTTTACCAACTTTAGATATTACTTGGGAGTTCTTAAGTCTACTATTTTTAAGAACCAACATCAACACGGATTTTATTTTTCTTTCTTTGGTTTGTAATTATCCTTCATAAGAATTGTATTTGATTAGCCATTTGACGAGAGTTTTCTTTTAAGTATCTCTCATGTGATAAGCATCGAGCTCAGGAGTTGTGTGGACGTTAGCAACACAAGATTAGGAAGACTGCTTGGTGTGGGAGGGGTAAACCTGAGAACCTCTATTTACTGTTCTTAAATATATGAGAACCAAAATGAAATGGATATCAGTCTGAAACTCAGAGAAGAGTTTTGGTCTATAGCTCTAAAAAGAAGGAAGCTGTTAACCTATAAATGGCCTTTACATCCATTAAAGAGAGAGAAAAGAGAAAAGCAGAGAACCCAAAGCCTTGAAAACCTCATAGAAAATGATATGATTCCATTCCAACTACTCCAAATAGCTCCCAATTAAAAATATTCTTTGCCTGGAAAGTTGGCATTTATGGTTAAATGCCAACCAAATCATGTGGAGTTTTGTTTGTGGAAGGTAGATCAGGGGTTGCATGCTTGACTTGGTGTTAAGTGGGAACATATTTGATTCTACTTTTTCATGCTGAGAATGGTTTGTTAGGAAGAGCAGACAGGACACCTGAGTTCTCAGGTGGATCCAGTAGTTTATGCTTGGTGTTGCATGCAACCAAAAGTCTGAATGACTGATCCGGGAACAGGGCCATTTTCAGAATGGTGAGAGGCTGGGTTAATTCAGTTTAGGGTGGCAGCTGAGATAACTGGCCTCGATAGGAGGTTACCCTGTTGATGCCTTTTATGGGCTCCTAAGGATATTGTTAAATTGAATTTGAATCAAAAGAAAAGAGAAAAGAGCAGGTAAATGCAGTACCCAGAGGCACTCCAGCCCCTCACCCGGAGATCCAGGGCCACAGCGCGGGTAGCCTGTCCAGTGGTTGGTATCCTATCCAAGGTTACCCTGTTCATGATGTTCCTTTTGCTCTAATCATTCTGATTCAGTTAAAATTTCTGTGAGAGTGGAATTTGGGCAAACTTAGTTTTGTAGATTTGCTTTCTTCTAGTCAAGGGAACAAAACAAAGCATTACAAGTGACAAGTATACTTCTCCTCATTTACAAAGACTCGGGAGTACGCTTTCAATCCCCAGTCAGATCATCTCTAGCAAATGAAATTTTCAGGAGAGCTTTCTCTGTGGTCAGTAATTGCAAATGAGTTTCTGAGCCGTGAAATCAGAGCTTTCGGTTCTCAGAATCCCAGTGCTGTAGACGAGACTGCTTTGCCGTTCTATATCTAAGCCTCCAGAATTTAGGTGTCTAGGAGTGCTCTGTCTGTTACGGAATGTCATCTTGTCCCCTTACAACCAGAGTACTAGCGCTGGGCTCTGTCTCCTTTGTGGGCTAAGAGATGATTTGCCATTAGGATATTTCCACACAAACAGGAGTTAATCGAAAGGTAATCATAAAAAGCACAGCCATTTACCCTCCCAATTGCAACCCCAATGGAAATAACCCTGACTTATTTTCTCAGGTTTGTATTCTACTATGCGGAGATTCCATAAGACATTATTCCTGGTGGAGAAGCAGGAGATGGGATAATGCAACAAATATACATTGATTATCTGCAGTGTGTCAGGCAGGATGGTAGCTAATGGAGATGCTAGGATAACGAGGTCAGGTTCCTGCAATCGCAGTTCACAGACTAGGATAAGGGTCTATAATAGACACGATGCATTTAAAGGGCTTAGGCACTGACTTATATTTGAACTGGATTTTGAAGGATAAATAGTGGTTCCCAAGATGGAGAAGAGAAAAAAAAAAATGCTTTAGAATGAATAACGCAGTACTATTTGAAAATTGAGATAGGAGAATGTGTCAGAAAAAAGGGGAGAAATGAAATGTAGATGAGTTAAAAAATTCTAAATTTCTGATGTGAAGTAAATGCTATATATGTAATGTGTGTTAGCAACAAAGGTGATTTTTGTCATCTTTCATTTATTTGCAATTAGTAGGAGATTTAGATATGCCTAAATGTTAATGTTTCAAATAACTGAAATTCCTTAAAATACCAAAATGTTAATGAAAATGAAAAAAAAAAGGAACTATTCTTAATAGGCAGCTTCCTACAGTGACTCACACACTCTTAAATAGAAGACTCTGAAGGAATATTACTTAACCTTTTCTGGAGCCTC